AGCTCCACAGTTACATCTAAAACCAATGACATAATGGGAAAACTAGTGACTAATGCTTTAAACTAATTTCATATCAACTTCCATAACAACGCGTGTTATTGTATTCTTTGCCTTTTATGTAATTACAGTATTTCTTTGTTATTATACCGATATTTAACCGTCGTGACTCATATGTCAACAAGAACCACCCCTTGACCTGCCTCATTCTCAACAAAATGCTCCGAAAATTGGTCTTAAACTCAAATATATTCGCGGATGACGCCAGCGGGCCCGTGAAACATCTTATATTAAACATGGTGTGGAGCAGATTAAAGGGTGACATTATTGCCGAGAGGCGGTTGCTATGACGACATGCCTGCTACAGCTATGATAGGCCATTCACGTTTGATTAATTACTTTTTCAATGCGTCTTGGTTTGAGGACCCTTAAAGAGCAAGCGCCTATGAAAAATGGAAAATTAATGGATTTCTATTTCTTTTTCTCCTTTTTTCTGTCTCTCTTTACCACTTTCTTTTTCTGTCTCTTTCTCTCCTTCTCTATTTCTCTGTGTCTCTCTTGCTCTCTCCTTCCTTCTGTTTGTCTTTCTTTCTCCATATCACTGTCTCCCTCTCTCTTTCTCTATGTCTCCATCTCTCACTCTTTCTTTCTCTGTCTCTCTTGCTCTCTCCTTCCTTCTCTGTCTCTCTTTCTTTCTCTTTCTCTTTTGCTCCATCTCTCTTTCTCTATGTCTCTCTCTCTTTCTCTATGTCTCCATCTCTCCCTCTCTGTCTTTCTTTCTCTGTGTCTCTCTCTCTATTTCGCTTTCTTTATTTCTCTCTCTCTCTCTTCCTTCCTTTCTTTCGTTCTCTTGCTCTCTTTCTCTCTGTCTCTCTCGCTCTCTCCCCTTTGCTCTTTTTCTTCTTTCTTTGTCTCTCTCTCTCTCTTTGTGTCTCTTTTGCTCTGTCCTTCCTTCTCTGTCTCTCTTTCTTTCTCTTTCTGTTTTTATTTCCCCCTCTCTTTCTTGTATCTTTTTTGCTCTCTCTCTCTCTCCTTCTCTCTTTCGCTCTTTCTCTGTCTCCTTCTCTCTCTCTCTCTCTTGTGTGTGTTGTGATTGTTTCTCTGTCTCACTTTCTTTATTTCTCTCTCTCTCCCGTTCTTTCTTTCATTCTGTCTGTTCTGTCTCTCTCTTGCTCTCTTTCTCTATGTCTCCTTCTCTCCCTCTCTGTTTTCTTTCTGTGTCTATCTTTGTCTCACTTTCTTTATTTCTCTCTCTCTTTACCATTCTTATCATTCTTTCTTTCATTCTGTCTATTCTGTCTCTCTCCTTCTCTCCTTCTCTCTCTCTCTCTCTCTCTCTTTCTCTCCCTCTGTTTTTCTTTGTGTCTCTCTCTGTCTCTTTTTCTTTATTTCTCTCTCTCTCGCTCTGTCCCCCTTTGCTCTTTTTCTTCTTTCCTTGTCTCTCTCTTTTTCTGTGCCGTTTTTGCTCTCTCTTTCCTTTCTGTGCCTCTCCATCTTTCTCTCGCTCTTTCTCTCTCTTTCTCTGTATCTCCTTGTTTCCCTCTCTGTTTGTCTTTCTCTGTATCTCTCTCTGTCTCTCTTTATTTCTCTCTCTCTCATTCTTTCTTTCATTCTCTTGCTCTCTTTCTCTCTCTCTCTTTCTCTATGTCTTCTCTGTTTTTCTTTCTGTGTCTCTCTCTGTCTCACTTTCTTAATTTCTCTCTTTCTCTTTCTTTCAATCTGTCTTTCTGTTCCTTTGTTTCTTACTCTCTCCTTTTCTCTCTCTCCCCCTTTGCTCTGTTTCTTTTTTCTTTGTCTCTCTCTTTCTCTGTATCTCCTTCTCTCCCTGTCTGTATTTCTTTCTCTGTGTCTCTCTGTCTCACTTTTTTTTTTATTTCTCTCTCTTCCTCTTCTCTTTCTTTCATTCTCTCTGTTTCCTTTTCTCTCTCTTTCTCTCTCGCTCTCTCCTTTTCCACATATTTTGCCATTTTCCAGGCATATTTGTATTTTAATGTTTAGAAGTTGCAGATTATGCGAAGAGGATGAGAGGGATGTGGGAGCTGGGTTATTTGGAATGCGAAAAAATAAATAAAAAATAAAATAAAATACAAAAGGAAAAAAAAAAAATCTTTGTTCACAACTGCCTTTCCTTTTCCTTTTGCTTCCGAACATTGAATCCAGTGTCATGTGCGTATTAGTTCAATTTCAAAGCTGGCGTGCGTTTTTCATTTCTCGCAATCTACTGGGACCAATTACGATTAGAGAGGGCGAGACTTCATCGACGCAACCCCAACTTGTTTTTATCAAGACTTCATACGCTCAGGCCTGCTTTCAATTTGATCTTTTTAGCACGCCGCTAATGTTTTAATGTATTATTTAACTCATAAATGTTGCATGAAGCTTACAAATGCGGGTTCATCATTTTCTGATCTGTAAATTGCCAAACATTCCCATTTGTGTCGGCATTAAAAGCGAGCTTGTGTTCTGTCCTGGTGAATCGCAGGAAATAGCGTTTGATGTGGTGATTATTAAATATCTGCTAATGGTGTTGCTAAAGCGAGTCTGATGGTTTGGAAGTGAAGTCGGTTTTCCAGCTGTGAGCACTACTGTTATTTTTTTTATATTAATACTTTGCGGTGGTGTCACGCTAGGGGGTTCTACATGTATCTCTATGGTGCAATGTTTAGGATGTACCATCGCAACAGAAGGCATGCATTGGCAACAGTGTCAAAAACGTTTAAGACGGTCTGAAAACTTAAGAAAAACTACAAAATGGATCTTTGGAACGCCCTCCCCCCTCACATAAAGAAAAGTCTCATTTAAAAACACACTTTTACAGAATTTTTTTTTTTTTTCTGAATGTGTTTTATCAATTTTATTTGCTGATTTTAGTATTTTTTAAATGTTTTTATTGACTTGTTTATTTATTTTTTATGTTTTATTTTATTTAATGCATTAATTTATATTGTGCCTACTCTGTGCAGCACTTTGGAGACTTTGTGTTGGTAAAATGTAGCCTGATTCATCAGCCGGTTTCACTTCGTGGAAACCGCCTGACCTCGCAGCATTAGGATTCATTTGCTCGAGTGTAGGCGGGTACTATTTTTATTTAACTAATCACTGCTGCTATTTGGTCATGACGTATGTAATGCGCCACTAACGGGGCTAACTGGTATATTAAGCTTTTCCCAAATCCCATAGGAAGAAGGGCAATAACGTTTTTCCCCTTGATAAAATTCAGCAAACATTCTCTTTGTTCCGGCTTTAAATCCTCGATCTCGAGAATCATTGCCAACACAGAATATATGGCTCTTTGCTGATTTGGCTGGTGCCCGAACTTGCACTTCGAGGTTCTTGCAAACCAACTCTAGTGAATTTCGATTCCTGACCTAGTCGCTGGAGAGAAATGAAATTGAGCAGAGGCACTAGGTGGCACTAGCCTGGATAGGTAAAAATGTGGACTGGATACAAAATTGATTTAAACAACACATTTTAACAGCAAAAATCAGCTCACGTTATAGTTCCAGCTAAGGCAGTTCTTTATGGTCAGATTATGCTAAAATAACATTATTAAAGTTTAACGAAGCTTCAGTCAGAGCATGAATACAGTTAGCATCACACCACTAGAGAATGTTGAAACTCATTTATTAGAATTTTACTAAAATGTCATTTTTTATATTTTGGATTTTTTGTTTTCAGTCTCAACTCCAGTTTGATAATTTTTGCATCAATTTGCTTTAACATTGGATTTACAAAGCAAGTGTGCCCAAAAGTCATGAGCAACAGTTCAAGCAAGTTCAACCAATTTACACAATTAAAAAAAAAAAAAAAAAAAAGGTTGAATGAAGCTCTGAAGGACAATACTGTGCTTCTGCCTAGTACGGTCAATTTGGTAAAATATTATCAGTTTACTTCCTGGTTGGACATCGTGTATACTGCAGATATGATTGTATATGTAGAGGTAATTCCAATCCATAGCTCTTAAGCAAATGTATTGTAAGCAAAAGCCAAAGTTTGTTTAATTTATGCTGTAGTTAGAGTCATAGATGAATGTCCAAACTGCATTTTGTATAGAACTGTATATATTGATGGTTTAGGAATTAATTTTGAGAACACAATCCCACTTAAAACTAAGATAAATATTTACCACAGATACTATTTCACCAAGCAAATATGAAATCTTGTCAACAAAAAGCTTGGTTATTTTCTCATCGGAAGAGAAACAAAAGTAGGATGGTAAAAGAATCTGAATACTACCCACCTCTGATCTAAACTGTCATCTCCATCATTGGCCCATGTTATTTGTGTGCATGGAGGAGCAGGAGAAACACTTTATAAGATCTACACTTTTAATTGTCTTTTTAAGGCATGAACAGTTTATCAAAGGTTCTATATTACGCAAATTAACTCTTGCTTTACGCCATGTTAGAATGTTGTTACTTCATCAAAAGCATACCTGGAGCGGCGTTTTGTTTCATTCACACATTTGACTAAATCTTTATTAGTAGTCGGCCTGAAACTCCAAAGCTGAAAATGTTCTGTTCCACCTTGTGATGTCATGTAGCTGTTATTTTCAAGTAAACAGCTACCTTTTTACTTTCAGTTCAGTAGCAATCGAAAATTCCAGGGCTGAAATTATCCAAATGATTCTAGTGAAGATGTATGTAACTTAAAAATTTCCCTGTATTACCACATGACATCACAAGGCGGAACACAGTGTTTTCTGCTTGAGACAAGAACTCATCTTAAATGTGCAGAGTCTGTGTGTTAAACATGTGTGAAAAAAAATAAATAAATAATTTCCAGGTACGTTTGCGATGAGGAAACAACGTTATAACATGAGAAATGAGCGTAATATGGGCCCTTTAAGAATGAGTCAGGCTTAGTAACTTATTCACACCTTAAAAGTGTCTAAGCCTGACTCTGTTCATCTTTGCTCATGCTTTATTAATGCTAATTAAAGTGTAGTTATTCTAAAGTGGTTCTGGAGCTGGTAGTAAAGCTGCTGTTCTTCTCTCACGCAGATGCAGGAGATGGCTCTGCACCAACAGCACCCAGAGGCCACCCATTATGAACGTAGGCACCCAATGCTAAACCGCTCCGCTCCGATACTGCCCCACCCCATGAGCACCCTGTCCCAGCTAAAGCCTCAAGTGGGCTCCCCCTCTCCTCCTGGGAGCAAATCGGCCACGCCCTCCCCCTCCAGCTCCAATCAGGAAGAGGAGACTGATCCTCACGCCAAGGTACGGCTGGTCGGCCTGCTGCTGCTGCTGGAGATGTGTGTCTGTAGAGGAGAATAGATTAGATTTAGATTTAGATTTAGACTTAAACTTAGACTTAGACTTAGATAAACCTTATAGATACATGAGGGAAATTATTTGGACACAGTAGCTCACACGTCACAATATATTATAATGACAATAGAGAAATGGTAATAATAAATTGTAAATAAGTAGCAAAAAGTCAGATAAGGCATAATTATATAAATGTGTATGTACAAGTAAAATTAATATAGAAATGAAGTAATAATAATAAAAATATATCTCAGCTCATAAGGAGTGGATGGTGGCAGTGGTGAGATTAGATTTGGCATGAGATTCTATTACTAAGATTAATGATACATTTTGTCTAAAGTTGTCCGAAGTCTGTGGTTTTATAACTGTAACACCGCTCTTGTATGCTTTTGCCATTTGAGGTTTTTTTTGTAGTTTATATAAGTTCTGGTATATAGTCTCTAGTCATGATTTTGCTGTCTTCGGTATAGTCAGTGTTGGGAAGAATGTATTTCAGTACATGGTCTGATCAGAGTACTGTTTTGTGAATACTTGTAGAGTTGCTTTATATTACTGTAAAAAGGCACCATGGGATTAAAACAGGTTTTAGTTTTTGTTTGTGTTTGTATATCTCTAATTAGAGAAGGAAAATGTCATACAAGTACTTACCACAAATGCAGTGTTTGTTTTCCTCACCATTTTGAATATAAAATTATGTGATAAATTACGGTGATATAGTCTTTGAATTTTTAGAAATGAACTATTGTCAATATACCCCTAAATGAAAGAGTATAACTGTACTCGAATATAATATAGAAATGTTTATTCAGAATATGAATTTTGGTAACATGTATGCTTATAGTTGTGCTATTAGGCAAGGCAATGTGATGTGTGAGTGAATGTTGTTGGTCAGATGGGCAAAAGATGCAACTGGCTTCCACACTTAGTGATTAAAGGTGCACTGCGTAACATTTCTAGTGGAGGGTCCAGCACCTGATGTCTCCATGGAAATGTTATTGCTTTGTCTAGACATTATAACTCAGAGATTTTCAATAGGTGAGGCACACCCCTGTGGGGCACCAAAGAGCCACTGGGGAGGCGCAACACACAAAGAAAAAATAACGGTTTGCGTATGTTCACATCTGCAGCAGTATTGATATCGGTAATTATGTGTGCGTGTATTAGCTGTAAAATTATGCCACCATTCTGACAACCTACTCATTATTTGGAGCGTCACCTTTTTTGCCTTGTATACACCGCATGGACCTCGCCTCTTCCCGTACGTCGCTTGGATCACGCCTGTTCCTGTACGTTGTGTGGACCGTGTCTTCTCGCGTACACTGTGTGGATTGCACCTCCTCCCGTGCACAGCACGGGTCGCAACTCTAAACCGGAACTAAAACCAGGACTAAACTAAGACTAAAATCAGGACTAAAACCAGGTTTAAACCAGGTCTAAAAAGGCCTTGCACCTGTTATAGATTAATCCTATCTATCACAATTGAGACAAGCAGATTCAAGCACTACACTACATTACAATTCACAGAAGGGGCGATTGTATTTTTGAGCAATAGAAACACCTGTAATGAATAAATGCTGGATGGATGTTTTTAAAGTCATGCTTTGGAACATTCCAGGCAAAGAAATAACATCTCCATGGAGACAAGTATGTAGCCAGAAAAGTTGAACAGTGCATCTTTAAATAATCACCACATGGGTGCTTGAATACATTAAAGTAATACATTATCATTATTATTAACTGTTATTGTGAATAGTTTGAATACTGCTACAATAGTTTCTAGTATAATAGTTTACATAATAGTTGTTCTGCAGCTGCTATGGTGTGAATAGACAATCCAGCTGTACATTTATTTCTTGCATTTTCTAATGGGGCTTGAAGAATTTGCACTCAAGTCATATAAAGACTAGTAAGAAAAATATACTTCATAAATGAGAGACTGAGTTGATTTGTTTGAATGTCAATTGTGAACTATAATAATCGATTATAGTCGCCTTTGAGTGGATAATACTAACAACAATTCCATCTATCACTGCTTTCCCATTATAAAACTATATAGATATGACCTTACACACTCTTCTTTTTACTTATACACACCATATATTCACATACACAAAGAACACTTGTTTATACTCAGGCACTAAATGTAAATCTGCAGTGATAAATGGCCCCTGGACCAGTGTCACCGTGGCGACGCTGTGTATTTTATCAGCCCAATGAATGTATAATTGAATCTGTCAGCGCCACAATATTTTTCACTCTGTCCGTTAATGTTAGCTCATAATAATAAAGCATACACACAGCATCCTTTAGCTGAGAAAAACCCGCTAGCTAAAAGTACATTGCGGATTCGTCTCTCAGTGCGAGTGGATAAAAATGATTACCATCTTTCTATCAGTAAGTAATTCCATTTGCTCTCTCCAATTCATTCAGAGGCACATCAAAACCAGGGCAGATACAGCAGGCGATTTTTACATTTCTCTCACCCGCCGACGGCATGAAAAGTCACAGTTTATGACTTGCCGAACAGCTAAGAAAACTGAATTTGAAAAATGTTGTGTCAAGAGGGTAAATTTGTGAAAAAATGTTAAAGTTCCTATAATATGCAAAATTGACATTTGAGAGATTTAAGCAATGTTATAAAGTTTTTATCTCATCAAAAACATACTTGGAGTTGTATTTTGTTTCACTCACACGCTAGAGTAATCCTGCATTATTAGTCTGACTACATCTCTGAAGCTCAAAATGCTCTGTTCCACCTTGTGATGTCATATAGTGGTAGTTTTCAAGTTAATAGCTACAGTACCTATCTTTGTTTAGTAGAGACGGGAAATTCCAGGGCTAAAATCATCCAAATTATTCCAGTAAAAATGCATGGACTTTAAATACACAGTGGAGCACTTCCTGTATTACATGACATCACAAGGTGGAACAGAGTGTTATCTGTTTGAGAGGACTTTATTTATTTAGGCTGAGTCCTTCTCAGCCTAAATATGCAGGGTTTATGTGTTAAACATATGTGAATGAAACAAAGGCTAAAATAAAAAGAAAAAAGAAAAAAAGGCTCTTGATGCATTAACAATAACTGCCATTAAATTGATGTTGATCAGAGCAACTTAAGAAATCTAATTAGTCTAGGATTATATTTGTGATTTCTGTATACATTAATTACACTAAAAGAAAGATATTTTGTAGTATTGTTAGAGATTGTGTCTATCTTCTATATCAAACCCCCCAAACTGCATGCCGCACCCACAGCTACAAAATCTCACAGGCTCATAGTTTTTGTTGATATAAATCAGAGGTCATCAAACTAAGGCCCGTGGGCTGACTTCGGCCCTCCATGCCCCTTTGACTGGCCCCCGGCTCCTCTGCCACTTGAACTGGCCCTAGGAGGAAATCCTCAAAAGTTGACATGGCCTATTTTTTTAATTACTATTTGGCAATTTATTTATTTTATTTTTTAAATGAAGTATGTATATTTATATTTATATAATCATATGATGTATTTACATGTATTTACATGTACATTTCATCACCATTTCATCACCTGACAAGCTCGAGATCAAACAGTGACCTCAACACACATGCAGAGTTCTGTAGTGTAGTTAAGGACAACAAAATGGTGAGTGTTAAAGTACGAAAAATTGCAGATTGCAGAGTTTTCAAAGAGCAGTGGGCGACCGATCATTTTTTTGTTCAGTGCAAGGACCTTGTCTGATATGTAAAGAAACTGTGGAGGTTTTCAAAGAATATAATCTGCGTCATCAGGGTCATACAATTCTGTTATGCGGCCGACCCCACCCCCATCACAGTCAGGAACGATAATGTGGTCCCCAGAGAAAAAAGTTTGGTGACCCCTGATATAAATGGCCTATATCTCAAAGTGGGACACTCATTGATTGTAGTGTTCAGAATTGATACACCAAACCTAACCATTGTGTACTTTTGCCCAGAAAATACTTCCATCAACCACATCTGCACACAACGCAATCCTGTTTTCAGCATTATTAAAATATCTTGTTTTTTGTGTTTCAGTTAACGGGTGAGAAGAGGCCGTCTTCGGACATGCTGAAGCCCAAGCCCAAACCACAGAAAAAGAAGAAGAAGAAGGATCCAAACGAGCCCACCAAGCCAGTTTCCGCTTACGCCCTGTTCTTCAGAGACACTCAGGCGGCCATTAAGGGTCAGAACCCCAACGCCACCTTCGGAGACGTGTCCAAGATCGTGGCCTCCATGTGGGACGGACTGGGAGAGGAGCAGAAACAGGTCAGCCTATGGTCACTTATAGTCATCAGTTAGAAAAGGGAATCTATGGATGAGAATCTGAAATGTGCAAGTGACATTATATTGTGGAATTAAACAAAGTAAGAGGCTGTAGTTCTAACGCAGACAAAGTTTGTTTTGCATCAGTACAGGACCCAGAAACAAAAACATTTAAAACATTGTGATAATATTGTCCATTCCAGTCTAATCCAGTCTGGCAATTTTTCTGTTGTAGGGAGTATTATACCTCTGATGACATAGGCCAAGTAAACAAGGACTGAGCCACAGAATTGCAATTGATCTATCAGTACCTTCACCGACTGCCTTTTCCATTGATGAAAAGAAAAATTAGTTTACATTTACCTTAATGCGCACTAAATCTTTTTGGTTGGTGGTCCGTCAACTTCTTGTTTCTATGGATATGTTCTTACTCTGCTTCAAATGTTCCACAATATGACATTAAACAGATCTACATTGTATTTATTCAGTTACAGGTGGTTTTATTGCTCAAAAAAAAAAGAAAGAAAAAAGAAAAACAGGCATTCTGACTGTGCCTCTCCACAGATCTGACCAGTAACTTGATCCGGTTTGGTCTCCATGGTGATGGAATGGTTTAATGCCATACTGTGAAACATTTCAGACAACCTTTAAGTAAAATAAGTCACATTATGTCCTTAGATAACCTTTCAAGAGGAATCTGAATACAACACTATGCAACTTTGGCCTTAAAAATATAACTAATAGAGTTAGAGTTCTTGTAAAGACTATACATTGCTGGGGAATATGGTTTCCTATTTTTTACAGAGAGATTCTTTGGATGATCTGATTCTTGGAAATCTGGCATAAGGGAATGACATGTGAAACGTCCTAAATCAGATACACTGTTGTACTGTTACATAAATCCCAACCATATGCCCACAAATGCATTCACATAATCACACACTCTACTTTCTGTTTTTTCCAACCACATTGTGAGGCCATGCACATATTCTCCTTTAACGCTGAACTTAACCTAGAATCCTGATCCTTTTCAGATATCTACAGGTCAATAATCCTACAGAATTTCACAAAAATCAATCCGTCTATCACCCCTGGGTGCTGGTTATTAATACCATGTTCAAGCCACATGAAACCCCTTCTAATAGCATGACCAACAGTTTTAGACTCACTTCAAAACCACATATCGAGAGTTCAGTCTGCATGAAAGTGTGATTTAAGGTGAAATGTGTTTATTTTATACAATATACAATACAATATAAGTGTGAATTTGGTTCACTGACAAAATATTGCACAAATATTCACAGCACATTTCAAGTTAGTGATAAAAAACAGTATAGAATCTATTCAGAGGTGTATTAAAAAGGTGGCATTAAGCAAAATTAACTTTTTTTTGGCGCTTTCTACCGTGTTATAATATTGTTCTAAGTTCTAGATGTCACCATAATATTTTCTATAAATATACAAAAGCATGATACAAAACCTTACACTACAACTTCACAAACCTCATGTGACGTGCTGTAGTTTTATTAGTGGGATACACACTGATTGTAGCCAGGTTGGTGCCACCTAGTGCTTCCGCTCAATTTCATTTCTCTCCTGTGACTAGGTCAGGAAACAGAATACACTAGATGGTTTGCAAAAAAGTCCGAGTTCGAGCACTGGCCAATCAGCAAAGAACCATACATTCTGTTTTGGCAACGATTCCCGAGATCGAGGATTTAAAGTCAGGAATAAAGAGAATGTTTGGTGAATTTTATCAAGGGTAAAGATGTTATTGCCCTTCTTCCTACAAGATTTGGGAAAAGTTTAATATACCGGTTAGCCCCTTTAGCAGCGCATTACATACGTCACGGCCAAATAGCAGCGATTGGATAAATAAAAAAAAGTACCAGCCTACCGTCGAGCGAACAAATTCTAACGCTGTGAGGTCAGATAGTGAAAGTGAAACCACCTGATTGTGGTGTGATAGCGCCCTGAAGGAGAGGTGACTTAGCGTGAAGAGCAAAGGTTGTTGGACTCAGAACGTCAAACATAAAACCGAAACTTATTAAAGCATGTTTATATATGTTTTTGGGGAATGTAGCATTTTCGAAACAATAGTAGCTTTTTAATACTCCATAGTACTCCAAGTGTAATACCCCCTCTTTAAAAAGTTAGGAGTAAACTGGCCTAAGTAAATTCAATTATAGATCTAATGTTATCATTTTATTCCACAATATCACATTACTGCATTTTGATTTGCTTTATTGATACACCAATATATAAAACTTTCAGAATTTACTTTCCCAAACCCCAATTGAATCCCTGTCCATATTCAACACTTTGTACCTCATTTCCATCTTTCACTCTCCAAAGTTTTTACATTGGAGCTTACAAATGATAGTGTGAAATGGATGGGAAAACGAGACAGTCTGATGGCCATGCGCAGACTCATATTTTAGCCTCTCCAGTGCGACGCTCGCCTATTGGGTGTCAAATAAAAGCCCCTGTCTACATGATAAAGTACCGCCCATTCTCCTCTGGTCATCTCATCTGGGTGTGTACGTGCATGTGTATTTTTCTCCCACCAAACCGACTACATTGGCCTGACTTCGGAGCCCCGCGCAGCCTTTTATTTGCAGTTAATTTTTGTCGTCTTCTCCAGTAGCTCTTCCCCATGAATCTTCATTTGGTCCCTGACACCCCCGAATGTGGATTCCTCATTTCCTGTCCTTTTATTTATACGTGTTGCCTGGTGATTTGATCATGCCGGGAATACAAGATTAGCAATTGGCGCGTCGTCCTTGGTTTAGCCTCAAGGACATCTGCTCCTGAAATGTTATTGTTTGTGTCATTGTAACCCTTTATGTCGCGGGTTCTTGTTTTCTGTTCAGTTTGGTTCTTTTAAAGGAGCATTGTTTAACTTTTTCTGGTAGCGGGTCGGTCAGATGCTTGTCTTCAAGGAGATGCTATTGCTTTGTCTGAAATGTTTCACAGTATGGCATTACAACTTTCTGTCATCATGGAGACGAAACCAGATGAAGTTACAGGTCAGATCTGTGAAGAGGCAATCCTGCTCATATTCAGAATGCCTTTTCTCATTTTTCTAGGTATTTTTGAGCAATAAAACTACCTGTAATTGAATATATGTAAGGTAGAGCTGTTTAATGTCATATTGTGGAACATTCAAATCAGAGCAATGACATCTCCATAGAAACAAGAAGGTGACGAACCCCCAACTAAAAAGTTACATAGTGCACCTTTAAATTTGTACCTGTTTTTACCATCTTAAAAAGTTAAAAATCAGATGCAGTAGTTCATTTTCAGCTGTCCTTGTTCGTCACTTACCAAGCGTCCTATTTATTCACTGCGAATTTATGAAGCAGCTTTAAAGGGCCCATATTATGCTATTTTTGGATCTAAATTATAATGTTGTTTCCTCATCACAAACATACCCAGTTGTCAGATGAAGAAAAGAGGTAGGGTGCTTCACTGGGTCATAAAAGAGATAAAAAATAGCAGTGCAGGTGCTCTATGGGGGTTACAACAGTAGTCTTTAAACAGAAAGTTGCCTTTACTGGAAAATGTAAAAGTGGGCAAGGTACAAAACCCGAGGCACTCCGACTGAATATATTAAAAGTCCTTTATTGCATGAAGGGACGCCAACGAGTTTTGACCAGCAAGATGGTCTTCGTCAGGGCAAAGTGGGACCTGGAGTTGTGTTTTGTTTGTGTGTTTGTTTGCGACTAGGTCAGGAATCAGAATACACTAGATGGTTTGCAAGAACCCGGGAAGTGCAAGTCCGAGCACCAGCCAATCAGCAAAGAGCCATACATTGTGTGTTTCCCGAGATCGAGGATTTAAAGCCAGAACAAAAAGAATGTTTGGTGAATTTTATCAAGGGGAAAGACGTTATCGCCCTTCTTCCTAGAGGATTTGAGAAAAACTTAATATATCAGTTAGCCCCGTGAGCAGTGTATTACATACATCACGATCAAAAGTAGCAATTGGTTAAATAAATAAAAGTACCCACCTACCATCGAGCGAACGAATCCTAATGCTGCGAGGTCAGACACTTTCCATGAAGTGAAACTGGCTGATGAATCAGGCCGAGGTTTAGGTTTTTCTCTCAAACAGAAAGCACTCTGTCCCACCTTGTGATGTCGTGTGGTAATACAGAAAGTGCTCCATTGTGTTTTAAACTCCACACACCTTCACAAAAAGCATTAGTATAATCCCATCCCTGGAATTGCCAATCTCTACTCTAACGCTAACAAAATGTAAAATGTTGCTATTAACTTGAAAACTACCACTACATGACATCACAAGTTGGAGCAGAGTATTTTGTACTTTGGGGATGTAGACAGACTAGTAAATAAAGGATTACTCAAACATGTGTGAATGAAACAAAACACAAAACTGGTTATGTTTCTGAGGACGTAACAACATTCTAATACAGGCAAAAGCTCACAAGAATCCATTTTGTGTAATATAGGACCTTTAAATGTGTTCTTTGCTTTGTTACCTGCTTTGATAAACAACAAAAGAGGCACATGCACAAATATTCACAGGGTATTTGTGCGGTTAATTTTTAGATTTGTTTGTGCGATGGCGTGTTTAATCAGACATGTCACCTCCGAAGGTCCGTAATTAACAGAGCTAATGATGTTGTTATGGATTCATGTATTGCTCAATAACACATGATTACTTCATTTATTCTCACCGAGCAGCTCCATCAACAAAACAACCCAGTCATCAATCACACTTTTACAATACGCAACCAAACAAAACATTTACAAAGTTGTACCCAAAATGTATTAGAATAAATAGTCAAGTCAGTATAGTTAAAGGGCCCATATTACACTATTTTCTGATCTATGTTATATTGTGTTTCCTCAGTACAAACATACCTGGAGTTGTTTTGTTTCATTCACATGTTCAACATGCAAATCCTGCATATTTAGGCTGAGTTCTTCTCTCAAATGGAAAGAAATTTGCTCCATTTGAGAGTGCTCCACTGTGTT